TCCTTATCTCAGCCCATGGGGGGTTGTCTTTTCCTCCCTTTTCTCCCTCCCATGCCAGGGGGTGAGGGATGAGTGAGCGGCCACGTGGTGCCTGGCTCCTGACTGAGGCTAAACCACCACAGTGAGCTTGGCAGCTGTAACCACTTGTGACCCATATGTGTGTTGTGCCTTGAGTTTTCAGGTTTTTTTCCTTCATTTTGTTTCATTGATTTCTCATGTACCTTGACAGAGGATGAAAAGTCCCTTTATCCACTTTTGTATTGTTCATTTAACATCTGATTTTTTTTTTTAAGATCGAAAGGACTAATCTTGTTAATCCCTCTAGACACTGCAAAGAGCACAGTGCTTTTGCTTTAATATGGAATGTCTCCATTTTGCCTATAACCTTTTATTCTGAGCTATATTTCAGCTGGTTTGTGCTGCTTGGTTCATTACAGAGCTTTACAAGCCCTGTGCTCAGTTTGTTAAACAACTGGTTTGAGTTTTGAGAACCCACTGGTACTGTCTTCCTGTTTTGCAGCCAATCTTGTCTTTCATAAGTAATTTAAGTGAATATGTTTGGCTGATTGCTGTGAGCCTGCATGTTGGGATTTCATTGTGTTCTATGTTTTGTTGTTGCTATGGGTTTTGCTTTTGGCCACGTTGGCCTCATCACTGCTTTTTTTCGGAGGACATGATGTGATTCTGATGCAGGGAAGTACTTCAAAGTAGCTTCAAGCCACCTTTATAACCTTCATATTGGAAAGAAAACAGGTGGCCAGATCACCCACTCAAAGTACCCTGGAACCTGCTTCTATTTACCATGGCATCCATTGCCTGCTAAGGGTGTTTTCACCATCACAAGCAGACAGTGAATGAGTTTTCAGGGTGGCTTTCCATTTAGTTTCAGGAATGAGTTTTTCAGGCTGGTTTCAGGAATGAGATTTTCAGCCTCATGGTGGCTTTGGGAGGAAGGGGTAGCAATAGAGATACCTACAGCATCCCTGGATACTGAATATTGAGGAAATATTCAGACTTCTTACAGGATTGGGGAAACTCTGCTGAAGTTTTAAGTCGATGCGGCATGGGCTGTGACATGCTGGACTTCCTCTGCGATACAGTCATCCAGGCATTTTTGCCCTGTTGCCTGGTGGGTTTGTTTTTTTATGAATGGAGCATGCTGAGCTGTATTTTTTCTCTCTATCCAGAATGAAGCTCTCCTATTCTTGAAAGATTGGTGCTTGCTGTCACGTGTGTTTCAGAAATAGGCGTTCACTTGATCTAGTGTTTAAGTTTGAGAATTTCAGTGGCCTGTATCTGCTGACAGCTTGAGCAGAGTCAGGATAGAACTTGCTTTGTACCTGATATGGATTCAATGCTGAGCTGATGTTATGGGTCTGAGACTTTTATTCCAGCCTGGCTGCAAATGCAGGACTTGATTTCCCATAAAATAGGCACATCTCCTTTGACACATGAATTATAGAATGGTTTGGGCTGAAGGTACCTTAAAGACGTAGTTACAACCTCCCTACCACGGACAGGGCCACCTTCCACTACATCACATTGTTCAAAGCTTCATCTAAACTGGCCTTAATTCCAGGGAAGGAGCATCCTCAGCATCTCTGGGCAGCCTGTTCCAGTGTCTCACCATGCTTACAGTAAGGAATTTCTTCCTAATACCTGTTCCAAATCTGGCTTCTATCAGTTTAAAACCAGTACCACTTGACTATCACTACAGTCCCTGATAAAAAGTCTCCCCATCTTTCCTGTAGGCCCCCTTTAAATACTGGAAGGCTGTGCTATTGTACATAGCCCTGCAGAGAGGGCAGCAATTTAAATGGAGATGCTGGGTTTACTGTGTAAGATGCATCCCTTCAGAAGGCTGAGCAAGTTCAGCTCCTTTTCAGGTCAGGAAAAGGCACACATAGTGTTCCAGAAGCTCTGTCCCATTTTCAGTGCTGCATGTGTGCCTGGAGGGTGTTGGTAACCAGGCACAACCAGCTTAGAAAAGGGTGCCAGAACCAAGTGCCTCTGCACAGTAGTGCCCTGAAAATAAATATGCAAGCTCCTTCATGGCAGAGTCATAAAATAACAACATCAACAGTATGTATGTGGTCCCTCCAGCCCAGTATCCATCCTTAGAAGACATCCAAGGAAGACACAGGAGCAGTGCGTGCTGGTGATGGTAACTCCCAAGAGGCTGTTGGCTTCCACTCATCTCCAGCCCTGGGAAGTGCCTAATCTGTGTCACTGGTTGCTAGAGCATGTCCCATTCTGTGTGGGCACTGAAAGGAGCAGTGACAGGCTCTCCGTCTGTCTGGAGAGTTGGTGTCCCTAAGGATGTCCTTAACCAATAACCTGTTTTGAAGAGCACCAGAAAGGGTCTTGTAGCTGTTGCTGTGTGTGGAAGGAGCTGGAAATGGTGCTGGTGGAGCAGCACTGGGCCTCTCTCCTCTCACCCCTCCATGCTTTCTGTGCAGAACGACATTTACGAGTGGAGCCGAGACCACCGTGTGCACCACAAGTACTCGGAGACGGACGCTGACCCCCACAACGCGCGCCGCGGCTTCTTCTTCTCCCACATCGGGTGGCTCTTCCTGCGCAAGCACCGCGACGTCATCGAGAAGGGGAGGAAGCTGGATTTCACCGATCTGCTGGACGACCCCGTCGTCAGGTTCCAGAGAAAGTAAGTGGGAGCGCTGGGCCCTGGTGGGAGATGGGCTAGAGAGGTCGCTCCACCTGGCTGTCTGGTTGTGGCTTATTGCTCCCCCAGAGATACCCCAAGATATTCTCCCCCAAGATACCCTGCCACTTCGATTGTAGGTGTTAAGACTGCCATCCTTCTAGCCCCCGCTATTGTCGTGTGGTTGACCTTGCAGGTTCTGCTGCACAAGCAGTGAGCCCTCTCTTTGTCCCTCTGCTTTTCTAACAAGCTGTGAAATCAGCTACTGCAGAAGTTGGTGGGACCTTGGCCTTCCCCCCTGATCCCCAGAGCAAACGCTGTAATGGCCGCCTGAACACAGAAGCACACATTTCACTCTGCAGACCCATCTTTGACCCCTGTGGGCCAGCACAGATCAAGAACTTCCTCTCCCAAGACTGTCATTCTTCACAGGATTAATTATCCCCCTTGAGAATTGGGACAGACCTAGTTCAGTTTGCTACATGCTCTGTAAGAGGTGGCAGTATTCTTTGCCCTGTGTGAGTACCTGTATTTTAGACACAAGAGGACTGTATCTGCCTGCAAGCGTTTGGTCCATATACTTTGGCAAACCACATAAACTAATTTCTGAGTGTTTTATGGGTGAGGGGAGAATCAGGGAATCACAGAATGCCTTGAGTTGGAAGGAACCACAAAAGACCATCTAGTCCAACCGTGCTGCAGTCTGCAGGGACATCCCCCACTATATCAGGTTGCTCAGAGCCCCATCAAGCCTGACCTTGAATGTCTCCAGGGGTGGGGCCTCCATCACCTCTCTGGGCAGCCTGTTCCAGTGTTTCATCAACCTCATAGTAAAGAACATCTTCTTAATGTCTAATCTAAATCTCCCCTGCTTGAGTTTAAAGCCATTGCTTCTCACCCTTGTAAACTGTTGCCCCTCATCCTGTCGCTACATGCCCTTGTAACCAGTCCTTTCCCAGCTTTCCTGCAGGTCCCCTTCAGGTACTGGAAGGCTACCACAAGGTCTCCTGGGAGCCTTCTCTTCTCCAAGCTGAACAAACCCAGGTCTCTCAGCCTGTCCTCATAGGAGGGGTTCTTCTGCCATCTGATAATTTTTGTGACCCTCCTTTGGACTGTTTCTAACAGTTCTATGTCATTCCTGTGCTGCGGACTCCAGATCTGAACACAGTACACCAGGTGAGGTCTCATAAGAGCAGAGCAGAGGGGCAGAACCACCTCCCTTGACCTGCTGGCCTTGCTTCTTTTGATACAGCCCAGTAGTGATTGGCCTTCTAGGCTACGAGTGCACAGTGTTCGTTCATATCCAGGTGCTTGTCCACCAGTACCCCCAAGTCTTTTTCTGCAGGGCTGCTCTCTATCACATCATCCCCCAGCCTGTATTGATAACAAGGATTGCCCCTACCCAGGTGCAGGACCTTGCACTTGGCCTTGTTGAACCTCATGAGGTTCCTGCCATGAGCAGGAGCATCTCGACCTTGATCAGGTTTCCTGAAGCCCCATCCTAGCTGACCTTAAATGGCAACTCATCTAGGCAATGTGTGCCAGTGTTTCACCACCCTTGTTGTAAAATGTTACTTCCTTAGATCTAGTCTAAATCTGCCCTCTTTTAGTTTAAAACCATCACCCTTTGTCTTGCTCACCATGAGGGATATGCTTTCTTTGACCTTCCCTTTCTGGCTGACATACCTGTAGAAGCCCTTCTTGTTCTTTGCATACCTTGCCTTGTTCAGCTCCAGCTGTGCCTTGACCTTCCTGACCCCATCCCTGCACAACCAGGCAGCGTTCCTGTGCTCTTCCCAGGATCCTGTCCCTGCCTCCACTGCCTGTGCAGTTCCTTCCTGCCCGTCGGTTTGACCAGCAAGCCCCAACTCAGCCATGCTGGTCTCTCGCTTTCCTTGCCCAATTTCTTACACCTGGGGACCAAGAGCTCTTGTGCTCTGTGAAAAGCATCCACCTGCCAGCGCTGTTCTGCTCCCTTCTCCCTGAGGGCACTTCCCCAGGGTCTCGTATTGACTGATTCCTTGAAGAGCTGCAAGTTGGCTTTCCTAAAATGCAGAGTCCTGACTTTCCTCTTTGCCTGTTGGATATCCCTCAGGACTGAGAACTCCACCAGTGTGTGATCACTGCAGCCCAGGCTGCCTCCAGCCTTGCCATACCCAAATAGCCGCTTGCGTTGGTGACCATCAGGTCCAGCATTGCGTCCCTGCTGGTGGAGCTGTCTACCACCTGGCCTAAGAATCTGTCCTCAGTGCATTCCAGGAGTCTCCTGGATTGCCTACAGCTCACCGTGCTCCTTTTCCAGCAGCTGTCAGGGTGGCTGAAGTCCTGCAGCAGGACAAGAACCTGTGAGTGTGAAGCCTCCTGTAGCTGGAGTAAGAAGACTTTGTCAGTGGGCTCCCTTTGGTCAAGTGGCCTGTAGTAGACACCAGCCACAAGGTTCCTTTGACTGCCTTGGTCTCTGATTGTTACCCATAAACTTTCCACCTGCTTGTGACTATTCTTCAGGGACAGCTCTTCACACTCTATCCATTTCTTGACGTAGAGGACACACCTCTGCCCCTCCTTCCTCCCCTGTCCCTTCTGAACAGCCTGTAGCCATCGATAGCTGGTCTTCAGTCATGGGATTCATCCCAACAGTTTTCAGTAATGGCAACCAGGTCAGTTTTCTAGCATCATGGTGGCTTCCAGCTCCTCCTGTTTGTTGCCCATGCTGTGCATTGGTGTAGAGGCACTTCATGTTGGTTGTCAGCCAAGTCACCTTCTTAGAGGAACTTGGACATATTGGTGCCTGATATGCTGTTTTCATATTTTTTTTTATTTTCATGGAGTGGGAGACGCTTTGAACTTTGAAGGACTTTTCTGGACTGGAAAAACATTCTTCTTCTCCATCTCTACTTAAATCGTGGCCTTGAATTGATGAGGTTTGCAAACCTTATCCACAGCTTATTTTAGAAGTCAGAGAAGTGGGAGATCATGTTACCTTTGGAGCAAAGAATGGGGTTATTTCCTTGGTCTTTGCTCAGGTACGTGAAGATAGAATGCTGTGAGAAAGCTGAAGAGGTGGTCTCTTTTCCCATGGTTGGTTTTGCTGCAGAACTGCCAGCTCTCCTTCTGGAGCCCAGTATGTAAGGCACAATCTCTGAACAATAAAAAATACCAAACAAAGAACTTGCAGGGCAAGAGGTTAATTTATTTTACGCACAAGATGATCAAAACCAGACGGTGTGTTATAGATGAGAACTATGTTGATGGAAACTTTCTTCCTTCCAAAAATACTGCTGATATTAACATTTTCCCAGTCCTCTGCAGGTTTTAATTCAAAATTTTTGGTTTTGTCACACCAAATTGACAGTTCTTCCTTTCTGAAAAACTTCGAGCAAATGGCAAGTTTTAGTAACTGTTTAATACATCCAAACTCTGTTCTTCCTCATCCCTTCCAGAACACTCAACAAAAGCAGGGGTGCATTTCAAACGTATCATGTGGGCGTAAATAAGATGGGTCTTCCCCATCTTCTTCAGCCTACTGCTCCAGTTTCATGTGGCAGCTTGCTTTCATGGAGATACCCTGGGGATCACTGTAGTAAATTGGAGCTCCAGGGAGGTGGAAGGGCCCAATGGGGAAGACAGGGCACTTGTTTCCTCTCAAGCTTGCTTTCATGGAGATACCCTGGGGACCTGTAGTAAATTGGAGCTCCAGGGAGGTGGAAGGGCCCAACGGGGAAGACAGGGCACTTATCTCAAGCTGGGAACACACTGTAGATGGCTCCCAAGCTGCACTGTCTTGCTGCTCTGCTCCTGACCACCGTTAGCCCATTCTCCATTTAGAGTCAGTTATTTCCTGTCTCACTTTTGGTTTTGACTCCCCACTTCTTGCGGAACTGCTGCCTTTCTTCACTTGCCTTTGATTAATTCCCCCAGTGTGATTTTTCTTTTTGTTTCTCCTGCTTTGTTCTCTGCACTTCACCTCTGTGCTCCCTGAATCTTAGGCTGCTCCCTGCCTTGCATGGGGATGTGGCTTTAGCTGCACTATAAAGCTTTCCTGATTGTTCTCCAACTGTTTGGCTTCCTCCCTCCCCATTTTGCACTGCACACTGATTTTCTCCAATATGTGGAGGAGCTGCAGGGCTTGAGCCAGCCAGAGTGTTGGGAGAGCAGCAGTAACCCTGGACCCCAGGCTGAGATGCATCTTTCTCCTCACCCTTGGCAAGGTGCCCGTGGTCTCTCAGCAGCTGCTTTGGGTCTGCCACTGCTGTTGGAGCTTATGCAGCAGCAGTGGTATAGACAGGATCTGATCCTGCCTTGTGCTGCGGGTTTCTTCTGATCCAAGTGCAAAGAAAGTCTTTGTCAGCTCTTAGCAGTGAGCATGTTTCCAACACAGCTCCAGCGATGCCATGCCAGGCCCTGGGCTTCTTCAGTCCCAGGGCTGGGTGCGAGGTGCAGTACGTGCAGCCAGCTCTGCATTTCCCCACGCTTAAAGGTGCTCAACATGGGAGGTTTTCTTTGGGACTGGGTCTTAGCTGTTCAGCTCCTGTGTTACCTGCTGCTTTGGGGTTTTGAGTTGTCTTAGCATTTTGAATTGCACATGGAAAAATTACATCATGATTGTGGATGTCTGAAGTGTTCCCTGCGGTCCTGATTACAGGCTCAGCCCAGGCTGTGCCAGGGGTTTCTGGCAGGGCCATGTCTCCAGAGGTCAAACCCCACCTCACCCCAGCTGTCGCTCCCACCGTGGTAACATGTCCTTTTCCGTCCCCGCAGGTATTACAAGAGTTCAGTTGTGCTGATGTGCTTTGTGATCCCTACCTTTGTGCCATGGTACCTCTGGGGCGAGAGCCTGTGGAACGCCTACTTCCTGGCCTCCATCCTGCGGTACACCATCTCCCTCAACGTCACCTGGCTGGTCAACAGCGCCGCCCACATGTACGGCAGCCGCCCGTACGACCGGCACATCAACCCCCGGCAGAACGCCCTGGTCTCGCTGGGAGCCATCGGTGAGCGCCGCCGCCCTGCGCG